AGAACGCCCATACGCAATATGGCCACAAGGGTAATTCAAGAATACTGTTCGGAAAAAGCATGGAAAATGATGGAAAAAGATTTGGAAAAATTCATCGCCTATAAATAGAGGATCTGAGACTAGACGATTCTCACTGATCGAGAAACAAGTCCTTACAAAGAACCTCATCTTTTCGCAACAAAAATTCGTCCCATCGTTCATCAGTCTATCATGCCACAAGACTGATCAATCAGGCTTTTGATCACTCTATAGAAAACCGAGATGTCAGTGAAAGTTCAGCAAAGCAACCGAAGCTGTTAACGACGCTCGAACTAGAATCCATCGGGGGAGTCGTTCGAAGCCGAGTGCACTCTGAGACCGGAATCCGGCATTGGAAGAAAAATAGGTTCACGATGGTATTTCAAGGAAGAAGCAAAACGCAAAGCTGATTGACGACACTCTCAAAATCTTAAATCTTTACCTCTGGGGGAATACTGTTGGCATATACAATAATAACTTCAATAAAATTATAACACAATTACTTCAGACGTTTTCACGCAAATTTGCGGTAGTAGCTCGCTACTACCTTCGGGTTTTTTCCATCCTGGATAGTTGATCTTCTAGTTCTTGTATACTCTCTCCTCGAATCGAGTCCAGAACGCAAACTACGACTTCACCGTGCCGGTGAACTTCTCGAGTTTCAAGGTCTCGAGTTTTCTAGCGCTCCACTGTGGTTGTTTGCCTGATTTCCGTGTACACCTCCTCCAGTAGATTGACTCGACGTTTGATTTCGACCAATTTTATTTCCAGTTCGAGAGCATCGTTGTTTATCCGAGCTCTCGCTGTCATGTACTCATCTTTAGTCGGGAAGTTCTCCCTTCTCAAGATTTTTTCGTTGAGTGTCTTCATTCGGGTTTGTCGATCTTCAATCGCGTTCACGTGTCCGAGATACTGGAAAACGTTCCCCGATTCCTTGTTCATTGCCTCCAGGGTGCGGTGTGCCATAGAGGATGCCTCCTCCAGGGTCAGTGCCCGCTCCTCGGACAACGCTCTTAGTTCCTCCATAGACAGCATCGGCTCGTTTCGTTTCTTGCTCTTCGGTGTCGAGGTTGGTCTGCCACTAACTTGGATCGCTTCTCCCTCTTCGACTTCCGAATGCATCCGTCTATCGCTTAGTGCCGTTCCTTTCGACTCTTCTAATTTTCCGTGCTATGTCTGAAGCTTGTCTCTTGAGTACGTCCTTCTTGTTCGGCACCTCACCAGAACTCCAACATTGGGCGCCATGTTTCGTAATTCACTTTATCTGCTGCTGTAGTGGACTACCGGGATTCTTGTATTCTAGTTCGGTGAGGGTGGAAGATGGAAAACACTCAGGGTTCGTTCACAATTTCATTCTTCAATCCTTCTCATGTCGAGTCATGTACACAAGAACAAAAATTATTGACTGCTCTCCCACTAGGTGGCGCTCTCGATTTCCCGCTACCATTCGAATCACACTCTCTAATCATTTTATTATTAGACAGGATCAGCCGGACGGCTTCCAGGTCAACACTTCACGAGTATGTAAACTTAATGAGGCGCTCTACGGAAGCCGCCAAGCCCCCCGTTGCTTTCACTTGGAAATCAAATCCATATTTGTCAGTCTAGGGCTCTGACAGTGTCCATCTGAACCATGTATCTTCTGTGGCAATGAGGAAGACAGACTGATCAAGTGCTTATACGTAGATGATGCAATCCTGGCTGGACGTACGGAGAAATCTATACTCACATTCTTGGCCGAGTTGAAACAACATCTTGAAATTAAGTATAAACCAATCGATCACTCTCTCGGAATACAAGTTCACAGAACGGATGATATGAGCGTTGTAATGCGTCAAGAACGCTATACTCTTGATATTCTCTGACGCTTTGATATGATTAACTGCAAACCTTATTCTACACCAGCCGATAGGGATATATATTCCCTCGACGAGACTGATGAACTAAAGGACACTCCATACAGAGAACTCATTGGAAGTCTCATGTATCTGCAGTTAGGCACCAGACCCGATATCTCTTCCATAGTCGGTTATCTATCGAGCTTCTCAGAACATCCGACGAAGAAGAGATGGTCAAAGGGCATGAGAGTTCTTCGCTACCTACGAGGAACAGCCAACTACGGAATAATCCATAAGAGTTCCGAGTTCAATGGATATCACTAGAGCTAGGAAGTTTAGGCATTTTGCCATAAATGCCTTTTTTTTGCCGATTTCGCTATTTTATTCGTCTTTTTGCCTGTTCCTACATTTCCGTGTCTATAGTGCCTTTTTCGCATTTGTGGGGTCGAATTCTGGGGATTCCGATGGTGAGGAGTGGTATTGGATCCGAGAAGAAGAGTGATCTGGGCGATGGATACGCATCGTTCGATTAGGCAATCATATTCCGCGGAAGAAATTCGAAAGACGCGCTTCGGTCGGTGAACAGCTTTGCGCAGGCGCGATCTCGACGTGATGTTTTGTGTTTCGCGAGGGGATGCAAATCGCGTTCGAAACTGACTGACTGAGTGAGATTCGGTGGCCAGTTTCGGGATGGAAGGAAATTCGTGATCGATCCCTTCATCTGCTGGGTAGCAAGCTCCACCATGCCGAAAAAATCGTCCACCTCTCGGAGCAAGCTGGAACTGTACGTGAAGATATTTGGTGAAAAAACTCTCACGACGGATGGAATCGTGTTGCTTTGCAAGCCATGCGGGAAGTCAGTTAACTATGAAAAGTAGTACTTGTTGAGACTAACTTTAGAATAGCTACACTCATTCTTCTAAGCTAAGCTTTCTGTCACATCTATTTCGGTAAACGCCGACTCCGTACTGTGCCACGTGCCAGAGGCTCCAGCTCTGACACATGTCAGAGGCTCCACTCATCAGGCCTCTCTTCTGATTCCGTATTTAGTAACCATCTGGAAATCTTACTCGATGCCTTACGAACTGTGCCTCTCGGAGAGGGTCAACCTACTGATATATAAGACGACACTTTCTCCAATAAAATCACTGTGGTGTGCTCCCATCTCAACCTCCGGTTGTCCTCTCTGAGCTCGTACGTGTCCCGCTGATCTACCGAACCTAGCCTTCGACCAATCTAGGAACAACAGTTAGGCCTAGCGTCCAACACGCTCCACTCGGATCCGACCAGGCACTGCCCGATTCTACTGTGAAACCGCGCGGCACTCGTGCCCATCAATCAATTCTTCCGAATTCAGCCAGTGATAAGTGCAGAAATCCTACCGAAGCAGACGTATCGCGTTCGCCGTATCCGTCGCTTGCCAACGCCATGAACGGCGAAGACGCCTCACCGTCCGAGCTGACCCCGACTCAGCGGTCTCAGCAGCATTCTCGATCTCCGTCTCCGGGACAGAACCTGAACGAAGGCTCATACCCGAGTCAAGTCGCAGCAGCCGACAACGCAGGACCCCGGACCTCTTAGCCGCCGGGGCCCGGACAGTCGTCACTCTCAGCGCGTAGCGCTCTCGCTAGAATGCCGAACGTAGACCCAGACGAACAACCGAGCCTCAGCGAACTGGAAAATGAAGTTCGGAACAAGTACGACAATCCATTCGCACCGTCGGATCGGATTCATGCCCGATCATCCATCCAAGAGCCGGACGAAGAACGCTCAATCTCCTCCGGAAATCGATCGCGGATCAGAACAGCCCGGGAGTCCTCTCTACAGTCATTGAGTCAAACAGAAGATAGCGGGAGGATCAGAAGAAGACTCGCCCTCCTCTACATATACGAGAATTTCGGGCTACAACAATTTGGCTCGTACATCCTATCGCGAAGAAGACGACGAGGAAGACGCACTCTCTCAAGCCGATGAGCTCAGAAATCAAATTCAATCTCTTCTGACAAGGTGGCTAGAACTCTCAGAGGAGCTCTCAGGCCTCGAGGAGGAAGAGCTCCCACAGTCAGTAAGAGAGCCGATCTTCCACGCTGAAAAGGAATCGAATCAAGCCATGCGGCCCCTCAGAAATCTACGTAACCACGTATTCGAGCTGATTAACGAAGAGGTCACAAAGTCGACGCTCCGGTCCCCAAGAGACCGACGAAGACATTTCGCAGCTGAGATTCCTGATCTCCACAACCCACGAGTGCGGGAAAATCCGAATGAGGCGAGGAGCCCAATCGCCGAGACCAATTCTTCAGGCCCTGCTCGCGGACACCCCGCACTTCGAGATTCCGTTAACATCACGAGAGTCTCGAACAACATCTCCTTCCAACAGAGTCAGCGAGAGCACGAGCGTAGCCTAAGCCCACGCGCCCACACGCTCAGCCCGGCTCGGCCGGTAACGAAGAGCTCACCCGCCAAGACTCGGGAGCACTGCCGGACAACTTCCGCATTCCGATGGCTCGCCCGAAGGCAGAAAACGAGGATAATTTCTCACCGAAATTGTCCAAGAATCTGAAGATCCCGACATTCAACGGCAACATCAAGACCTACAAACGCTTCATCAGCATGTTCGACATCTTCGTGCATCAGCGTAACATCCCGGAACTCCAGGCCATTTCCATTACTGTCTTAAAAGTTTTCCAGAAGTCAGTGTTTTTGAGTTAATTACACTTGTTTACATGATAATTGTACTTAAATATGTGTTTGCCGATGCTTCCCCGAATCCGAAGAACATACGTTTCGATCGTTTCTCAAGAGTTTATTTAGCCGCGAACTCGTCTCGATATCCCGCGCGCGTTGTCCCTCGCGCGGTGAGCGACCGACTGATCGACGCGCTGGCATGCTCGACGTGCACCCTACTTCTCTCTGTTCTAATCGTTATCAGTGGAAACTCTTTAACAAGTATATCTTTGAAGGCGGGAGATTGTTCCGACGCTGGGTGTACGATTCGGGCACATGTTTATCTAGAATCGCTAACATATGTAAGCCAGGAAACCCTGATCTAATTGATACAGAAAAAGACTGAATTTTTTTTCCCTGGAGAACTCCCTCCGTTTTTTCACTGTAAGGGTCTATGAAACCCGGACGGTATATAAGACACATTGAAATAAACATCAGATACAGATTCTTCTGTCACACGCAATCCTTGCGTCTTCATTCGTGAGAAGCACCGTCCCTGCCAGCCCTCGACCCTCGGAGATCTTCTTAATATTGTGCCGAAACAACTCTAAACTCCGGACAGCGGACTCCTGCCGACTGAGCACCTGCTCTGTGAGCTAACGCTCACTGGGATCCTCTCGGATTCCTAACATTCGTTATCAGCACGAGTGAACTCTACAGGAAAACTCCAACCTCCGAGTTTGTCATCACCGAGGTGAGTCGAGAGGTCTGTGATACTCTTGAATGATGCAGCGCGATACCGCGATCACGCTGAACGTCGATGGAAGCGATACTCCGAAGATCCGCTTCAACCCTGCCATGGTCCTCCGGGAGGATGGCAAGAACTTCCTCACTTGGAAAACATTGGCTCCCGGACTCCTCCAAGCGGAGAACTACGCATGGCAGGTGGTGAACGAAGAAATCAAGCCGGACAAGGATCCAGCTATACTTGCAAAGTATGATGCCGGAAATCGCATCGCCGGGACCGTCTTCTTCAACATCGTTCATCCGAATATCATCCTCGAACTGTTCTACG